CGAGCCGCCCGGGCTCGTGCGCAATAAATAATGGGCCCGCGGCAGCCGCAGTCAGGCCGCCCGCGGCCCTGCGATGCAAATGCGCCGCTTTATCCTCCCCGAGTGCACCCTGAGTGCACCCGCAGTGCCCGCGGGCGCCCCGGGCCTCCGCGGCCCCTTCTCCATTATCTAATGCACATCAAGGTAGTCTCTTCAGATGGGAAAACATCAACAGCCTAAACCAAACACAAAAAGAACTCGAGCCCAGAGCCTCAGGGCGGTTTCTGGTTGCTGTCCCAGGAAGCTCTCGGGGCAAATCCGACCACAAGGCACCCAGACCCAACCGTGATCGGGTCGGTGCCACCACGCGACGTACAGCTAACCCCGCGGCTCCCTCCGCGCCTCCACCCCGGAGGCTCCACAGTCCCCTCCCCGCTTCCCGAAGGTGGGCCGGTGGTCGCCGGCTCCGCGGCGCCGAGGTCGGTGGGTGGGGGTCCCCCTATCGCCCAGACTCGGTTTGCGTCCTCCTTTCAACCTTCGCTGCGGCCCCTGCCCCTCGCAATAACATCACTCCACCGAAACTTCCCGCCAAGCAGCACCCAGACATTAACCCCATCCTCTCCTCCAACACAGAGTCCCACCCGCGCACCTCTTCCCTCTCCCTGCGCTCCTGACACCTCTCTCCTCGGAAAACCGCGTGGAGGGGAGCAGTCGCTCAGCAGAGGACTCTGGCCGAATTAGTAAGTTGTTTGCTTATCTCCCACCCCCTCATTCCACCTTTCTCTCCACAAACCAAACCCCAGGGAATAGAAGGCGCTGTGCTGATCTAAAACGCCAGTCGATAAGGGCACTTGGCCCTCGTCTCGTCCCACCTTTCCAGGTCGGGAACTGTTCCCAGTCGTTGGGGATCAACTGAACCAATTGGGTCATGAATGAAAAAAGAAAAAAAAAATCCAAACCCGAGAGGCGGGGGTGGGTGCGAGGGGGGAGCGCAGGGTGCAGGGCCACCTCCACTGGGGCTAGGCCAGGTCGTCGCTGGGCAGGGGAGGGAGCTGGGGCTTGTGCGCCCGTGCCAGGGCGCGGTGCCACTGACGAAAGGCGGGCATCCGCTGCCACCGGGAACCAGGAGAGGAGGGAGTGCGAGCGTGTGTGTGTGTGTGTGTGTGTACGGATGTGAACCGGTGAGGGTGGGTGACGGGTAGTATGCCCCTCTCCAAAGCCACCCTGGGTGCCCTCGCCCAGGCCGCCTGCACTGGGTGCCATCTCACCACCTTTGCTCCTGTCTCCCCACATGTCTCACCTTCAGCTGGCGGCTCCCAGAAGCTCCTGCCCCTCTGACAGCTGTCGCTGGGGCAGCCCGGAGAGACGAATCGTCCTCTTTCCTGGAGCCAGAGGACGCAGGAAATTAGCCAGGTTGCGAGTTGCAAAGAGGCCGCCGCGGCGCCGGGAGCAGGGCGCACCCCACCTCCAGCGGGAAGGGCCGGGCCCGGCCAGCCCGGGGCCTCGCCTCGCTCGCCATCGCCGGACAAAGCGCAGCCGAGCCGGCTGGAAGGCAGAGCTCCGAAGCAGGCAGGACGGAGCGGAGCACAAGAATGCGGCTCTATTCTCGCAAGGGAAATTATAAAAAAGTTCATGTTCACGGTTCCCATCCACATGACCGACAACGGCCAATGGAAGGGCCGAACAACTCATAAAGTTGTATTGCAAAGTTGTAAATTTTCATAAACAACAACGGATTTATGACCCTTTCCCCATCTCTAAGAGGAGGCAGCTCTTACACCGGCGCCATCTTACCACCGAAGCCGCCCCGACTGGGGGCCGCAGGTTTTACAGACGCAGTTGAGCCAGGTTTTATTCAAAGAGCAGTAAGAAGGGGGGCCCAGCCCAGGCAGGAGCCTGGAGTCGAGGTCCTCGCCCACCCCCCAGCTCACGCTGTTCTCTGCGGTCCCCACCTCCCTTCTCCCCTTCCCCAGCCCCTCATCCTTCCCCTTCCCCGCACCCAGGCGCCCCCGCCCAGGCTAGCAGTGGGGTCTGCGGGCCCTGCCCCTGCCCCTTCTCAGCCGCACTGCTGGGCTCCGAGCAACCCTTGCTTAGCCTGAATGCGGGGTGGGGGACCGCGTCAGAGGCCCTGAATTTCACCTCCTAGCCTGGCGCCAGGTTCAGGGCTCATGGAAAATTCTCGGGATCAGTCGAAGGGTGATACCCCTTTGCAAGCCCACCCCCGCAGCCTTAGAGGAAAGAGCGGATTTTGGATTCGCTCTTGGAATTTATGGAGGTTTTGAGGAAGGTTCATAGAATAGAATGTACCTATCTAAGATTCCGTTTTCAGGGTATCTGGAAGATGTTTGTGGGCACACACACAAACCAGACAAAAATCTTCACCCAGAGAAATTCACATATACAACTGCGGACACACAGAAACGCATACACTCAGTTATGGACACGGAAATACACACAATTATTTACACAGAGAATCACGTTCACTCAATTACAGACACAGAAATACATATAATTGTGGACATAAAAATACACACACATACACAGAAATACACAAAAAGAGCTACACACATACCTATGCAAACCCAGACAAAAAGGAACTTGACACGCATACACACCAACTCACAGACGCTCAGCACTTGGACCCTATTTGTCCTTCCACTTTTGCTTCCCTAAAGCCCCTTTGGACACGCATAGAGTCAGGGCTTGCTCTCTGGCCATAATGACCCTCTTCCCCAGCCTCCCTCCCCAGATAAAGCAGTCCACATTTCTTTGTCATCAAGCATCTTTATTTTTCTGTTACATAAAACACGGTTAGCTGGGCAAGACGGAAAGCATACCTCCCTGTTCCTGGAACCCGAGGCTAGAGCTGAGAGGGACGAGGGGGACGCAGGACAACACGGAGATGAAGGGCACTGGGGAGGGCACTGGCTCTCCCCACCTGCTACAGAGTTAGCTCAAGACAACACACCATGCTACATGGTCACCCCATTAACGCATCCTTCCCAAGTCAAGACATTGCCTTACAAATGAGCTCCAAGACCATATAAATGACAAAAAAAATCTTATTCAAATATACAGTATTTGCTATTGTAGGAAAAGTCAGGGTGTACATATTCAACACGGCTGGGCAGTGGGACACAGGGGCGGGGAGGCGGGGAGCATCTCTGCAGTCCTACTAAGCAGCAGCTAACTCAGAAATCTGCAGCTAGCTTGGGAATGCTCCCCTCCAGAAGTGGGGGGTGACGGGCCTGAACTTGGAATATCCAGGCCAGAAAAGAGGGATTCTAGGTTGCAGCACTTAGAATGCTTTGGAATAAATATATTATTTTTCAATTTAAATAGAAGCCAATGCCCTGGTCCCCGGACCCCAGCACCTTCTCAGCATAGCCTCAGGGACCCCAAAGGCTGCCAGCCACAAGCAGCAGGGGCCTGGCCTGGGAGGGGCCGGCACTAGGTAGCAGGCGAGCCAGCGAGCACAAAATAGGTAGTTTGGGACAAGTAGGTAGTATTGAGAGTCAGGTCCTTGGCCTATAGGGAGGTGCCGGGTGTCTGCCAGTGTTGGGACACTCTGGGCTTCCTGGGAGTGGAGGTCCGCTGGGCTGGGCCCATAGGTAGTTTGGGGTGCCTCTCTCTGAGGCCTGTGCTAGGTAGTATTTTAGCCATGCCAGCGCAGAGCCAGCCGGCCTAGGGATGGGGGGAGGTGTCTGCTGGGGGCCTCGGAGGCAGAGGGTACCCCCAAGGGGACCCAGTCTAGGCGGCTGCTGTCCAATAAAGTTGGGAATTGGAGTGGATAATGGGGTAGATGGGGTACAGGTTGGGGACTGGGTTGGTTGTTTTTTTTTTACATTTTCTTTTTATTTTTCAACTTTTGTAAATAAAATCAAAGAGTCTCTAAAGACGCTTTCCGGACTGTCTGGTGCAGCCCAGGCCCCTGATCGGCCCCTCACTCCTCCTCCTCTTCATCCTCTTCTTCCTCCTCATCCTCGTCCTCCGCCTTGTCTGCTGCGGTGGCGGTGGCTGCTGCTTCGGGCACGGGCCCCTCGGGGGCTGCAGCAGCCGCCGGACCTTCGTCCTTATGCTCTTTCTTCCACTTCATGCGGCGGTTCTGGAACCAGATCTTGATCTGGCGCTCGGTGAGGCAGAGCGCGTGGGCGATCTCGATGCGGCGGCGCCGGGTCAGGTAGCGGTTGAAGTGGAACTCCTTCTCCAGCTCCAGCGTCTGGTAGCGCGTGTAGGTCTGGCGGCCCCGCTTCCTATCAGGCCCTGCAAGCAGACGTGTGGGCACACGGACACATGGACAGACAAGCGGATGGGACCATAGTCAGGGCAGTGGCTTCATCAGGCCACTGACACAGAGCTCGGCCCTTCCTCCGCCGGACCCAGGGCGCGCTCCCCTCTGCCTGCGCCCCGCTCTCAGCTGGGGGAGGAGGGAGACGGAGAGGGGAAGACCCCAACCGCCGCGCCAGACGCGCAGGCAGTTCCCTGAAGAGGGAAGGCGCAGAATCCCCAATTTACAACCGCGCTTTCCAGCCGGCTAGGCTTCCACAATGTCCTGCTTCCCCCTGACAAAGGGAAATTGTAAATATAGAGTGTGGGCAAGTGGGAGACGCCCCGCTTTGGCCATTCAAAGACCAGTGGGGCCGCTTCCCTGACTGGCTAGGCCAGTAGGCGACCCTAGGCAGCCCACACTCCAGGGGCCCCCTTCGTCCCTAGCAGCCCGCGCCCCCATCCCGGGACCTTCCTAGGTCACTCGGACCCTCTGTCCCCGATCCAGCCCTCCAGCCCAGCCTTTAGATGGCCCCTGGCACGGGGGCTTGCGAGGGGCCCTGAAGGGTTCGGCTCTCCCAGGTTTTGAGAAAGAAAAAAACAGGCTGAAAGGAAAAGGAGGAGGGAGGGAGAGAAGGGCAAGGGAGGGAGAAAGAGAGAGAATCGCGAGCAAACAAACTGAACCTTAAAATTCCAAGGCAAATGGAGTTAAATAAATTTACGAGGATTGAACCCATTAATTGGGCCATAAAAAGTTTTATGAGCCTCATTTACATACAATGCTACGGGTTCTCCACGCTATGGCGCCTCGACTCTAATTAGAACCAGAAAGGCAGCGCCGCCAGAAGTCAGGGGGCCTCCCGCCCGCCCGCTCGCCGTCGCCTACCTGAAGACCGCATCCAGGGGTAGATGCGGAGATTGGCCTCGGCCGGACCGTGCAGCGCGCCCTCATCCACCTTGTCGCAGGCGCCTTTGGCGAGGTCACTGCAGAGCCCGGGGATGTTTTGGTCGTAGGAGGCGCAGGGCAGGTTGCCGTAGGCGTCGGCGCCCAGGCCGTAGCCGGACGCGAAGGGGCTCTGGTACAGGGGGCTGTTGACATTGTACAAGCCCGGCACGGTGGACGC